CAACACTTCTTATTGGAAAAAAAAAAAAGGTAGCTATGTTGAAAGAAAAGCAAAACAGAAAAGAACAATGGTATGATTCTATTTACTCTTTAATTCCTTAAAGTGATTTTAGGAGTCTAGCAGCACAGTTGCTGCTATAAGATTGGGGTTCAAAACCAACTAATCACTTTGAGGGAGGAAGATGAGTCAGTCTACTACTGTCATGATGTATATATATATAGTCTTAGAAACCCTCTGGCACAGTTGACCCTGTCCTATAGGTTTGCTCAGAGTTGGAATGGACTCAATGGCAGCAGATACTCATAATTTGTAAGTAAACAAAAAAATTTACCAGTTCTCAAGTTATCTACTAAGATATTAACCCCTTTCCAAATTACATGGTACAATGTATAAGCATTCAAGAAATTGTTTAATTATGTCTTGGATGCTTTTCTGTATGTATATATAGTTCATATTTTGAAAAAGAAAATTCTCATAATGATTAAAACAAATAGGGCAAATAAATGCCTGTGCTCAATAAAATGAATGGATTTTCATACTAAAACTGAGCCATATCCAACTCTTCGGTGGGTTTTCAGAGGCTGTTAATCACACAGAAGGAGACCTCCCATCCTTCTCCTGTGGAGAAGCTGTTGGATTAGAATTGTATGCCTCTGGGTTTGCAGCACAATTGCTAATCACTAGGCCACCATATCTCCTTAAAAATGGATTACAAAGAGGAATTTTTACCTCTAAATGCAAGTAAAAATGTAAACATTTACTTAAGAGTCTTAATGTAATATGAAAAACAGATGCAGAATTTATAGATTTAAATGTAATACAGTATAATGAAATTTGTCAAATAAAAAACCCAGTATCATATTCTAGCACACAAGGCCAATTCTACTAAGGTAGAATCCCTTTTCTAATTACAAAATATATTTCTATTGATTTTTAGAACCTGACAAAACAATTCTATATATTATATAAAGACTAATAATCAACAAGTTTTTTTCAAAAATGAAGTAGTATCAACCTTATTAAATACTAAGACTTTATTTGTAAAATTTTAAATATGGAGAACCATCTCTCATACCTATTTGCGTATCTTAATGTATTAAGAGTATTTTCACAGGATGCCATGCCTGGAGAGATTGTGGCAATCTACGGGAAAAAGGTGCAGTTAAAGAAAGCGTTATAAATGTGTAAAACAACACTGACATTTTTAAGGTCTCATTTTACCACTACATAAAGATATCTTAAAAGAAAGATTAAAAATATATGAACTTCAAGATAATTGTGTATCTTATAACCAAAATAATAATTATACTTTTGGTTAAATGTGTAACTTTGAAGGCATAAAAATTTTGGCCAGAAAATGGAAGTAGACAATACCTAAAGAAGGGAAGAGCACAGACTACTCATTTTTATTTTTTTTTAAGCTTTTTGCTTGAAGGTAAATTTGACAAAATTTGATTACCAACTTGGCAATCCCACTACTTAAGAAACCAAAGCACCCAGATGGAGAAGTGGAGGTGGGGGAGTGGAATGCACCAGCTGAAAGGAAATATCCACAAAGGATGAGAGCTATTAAAGGGGATGCTCAGATTCTATGTATTTACTGCCTAAATCTTTGGCTGATCCCTGAACTGGTCAGGCACGGGACAGACTCTTAAGACTAGAACTAAACTGAGATTTCAAGTTCAGTTACTTGCACCAACAGAAAAAATAAGTTTGGGAGTAAGTTCAGCTAAATTGGCTTTTTATTAAAACAAAAGAAATAATTAATAATCTTAATAAGAACATGAGAGAATCTATCTAGAAGGTATTTATTCATAACAAAATTACAAGACATATAAACAATGGAAACCAATACTCAGGAAAACCACATGATGGAGTTAGCTAAATGAATCACATTTGTATTAGAATCATTCCTATCAGTTTGGCAGTGGCTTTATCGTAAATTTCACTGTATCTCTTAAAATAGAACATTTCAATGATTGTAAATGAATAGTAAGCCACTTATGAATACTGTATACAGTTATTCTTTGGGAACAAAACAAAAAATAACTTACCATGCAGGTACGTGAGTTTTCACCTATGAATGAGTCTCTTAACACCTGAGTGAGTTTACTTGCTCTGAAAGGAGTATGAGGTTTATTTCTACCTAAGGCTCTGATGCACTCCTTAAGAGCTAAAAGGCTTTTATTAATTTCAGCACCTTCAGTCTTACAGATGTGCTTTTTTAACAAGAGTTATCTTAATTAACATATCTTAAAACATCTCTTACATGAGCTCTGAAAATTCAGCTGGCAGTTTTACAAGACTATTAAGGATGCTCCCATAAACCTTAATTAAAGATAGTAACTTAAAAATAAACAAGAAAAACCCTTAAATCTTTATTCCTGAGATGCTTACTGAACTCATGACATTAGAAATGACAGGCAATTGGTAACTGCCCATCAGCAACCGAATGGATAGAGAAGCTGTGGTATATTCACATAATGGAATACTACGCTGCATTGAAAAACAAACAACAACATGCAATATTATTCAAAATGGGTGACCCTGAAGGACATTATGCTGGGTGAAGTATCTCAGTCACGAAAGGACAAATACTGCATAGTGCCACTGTTGTGAAACAGGACTGACATCAGGGTTGGGGAGAAACTGAGAAAGATGGGATAAATAATGGATACTGCATTGAAACAGATGCTCAGAACAAAAATTTCATAGTGGAGTGGACCTGGGTGGGAGGGATTGTAAAACAATGAAAGAATTTTCAAAGAGAAAAGTGTACTGGGAGGGGGGGAGAGAGAAAAGTGCAACAATGAATGAATGGAAATACAAAGTCTCTGCAAATTTTCATTTAATTTAATAATAATAATAACAACAACAAAATAAAAATGAAAAAAGCTATGTTTTTAACTGGTAATTCAAAAGAAAATGAACAATATACTCTATTATTATATTCTTTCCAAAGTTTGGCTGTCTAGTTTAGAAAGAGCTGGTTAACTTTCTGAAAGCTATTTCATATTTTCTGAGAAATTATTTAACTCATTCTAGTGGTTAAATCTGTCCCACTAGAATTTCAAAACCATCTCAGGAACAGGTTTGAGGCCTTGAGCACCAGTGAGCGTAGACCAAATGAGCTCTGGGAGGATATCAAGAAAATCATCCATGAAGACTGCAAAAGATCATTACAAAGGCTAAAGAAGAAGACCAAGATGGATGTCAGATGAGACTCTGAGTATTGCATTAGAGAGCCGAGAAGCCAAAGCTAAAGGAAGAAATCAAAGAGCTGAACAGAAAATTTGAAAAGGCAGCTCGGGACAACAAAGCAAGATATAATGAAATGTGCAGAGAGCTGGAGTCAGAAAATCAAAAGGGCTGGACTCGCTTAGCGTTTCTTAAGCTGAAGGAGGTGAAAAACAAATTTAAGTCATGGGTGGCAATACTTTTAAACACAGTTTGGGTAGAATGTTGAATGATCCAGAAGTATCAAAAGAAGATGGAAGGAGTACAGAGAGTAACTGTATCAGAAGGAACTGGCTGACACAGAGGAATTTCATGAAATAACATAAATAGCAAGAGCCTATGGTGTTGAAGGAGGAAGTTACTCTGAAGGAATTGGCAAAAAACAAGGCCCCAGGAGTTGACAGAATATAAATTGATTTATTTCAACAAACAGACACTGCCCTGGATGTGTTCACTTAGTTGTGCCAGGAAATCTGGAGGACAGCCAGCTGGCCAACTAACTGACTGGAAAAGATCGATATCTGTTCCCATTCCAAAGAAAGGTGATCCAACGGAGTGCGGAAATTATTGAACAATAAATATCACTGATACCACATGCAAGCAAGATTCTGCTGAAAATTATCCAAAAATGTTTGGAACAATATGTCAACAGAGAACTGCCAGATGTGCAGGCTGGATTTAGAAGAGGTCGTGGTACTAGGGATATTATAGCTAATGTTAGATGGATCTTGGCAGAAAGCAGAGAATACCAGAAGAATGTCTATCTGTGCACTTCATTGTCTATGCAAAGGCTTTTGACTGTGTGGATCACAACAAGTTATGGCTAACTCTGTGAAGAATGGGAATCCCAGAACATTTGATTGCTCTAATGCGAAACCTATACTTGGACCAAGAGGCAGTCGTCAGAACAAAGCAGGGAGACACTGGATGGTTCAAAATCAAGAAAGGGGTCTGTCAGGGATGTATTTTGTCTCCATACCTTTTCAATCTCTATGCAGAACAGATCATCCGAGACGCTGGGCTATACGAAGAGGAATGTGGCATCAGGATTGGTGTAAGAATCATCAACAACCTATGTTATGCAGATGACACAACTCTGCCTGCTGAAACTGAGGAGGACCTGAAGCGCTTGCTGCAGAAGTCAAGGACTGCAGTCTTCAATATGGATTGAAGCGCAACATCAAGAAAACAAAGGTTCTCACCACTGTGCCAATTGGCAGCATCAGTATGGATGGTGAAGAGATTGAGATAGTAGTTTACTTGGTTCCACAGTCAACATTCTTGGTTGGAAATCAGGAGACAAACTGCATTGGGAAAGTCAGCTGTGAGGGACCTCTCGAGAGTACTGAAGAGCATCGACGTCAGGCTGGAGACTAAGGTGCACCTGATCCAGGCTATAGTCTTTGTAATTACATGCTATGCATCAGAGAGTTGGACAGTGAATAGGGATGACAGAGAATTGATGCCTTTAAGCTGTGGTGATGGAGAAGAGTGTTGAGTACACCATGCACTGCTAGGAGAACAACCAGGTTTGTCCTAGAGAGGGTAAAGTCAGAATGCTCTTTGGAGTCAAGGATTCTGAAGCTTCGTCTGACATACTTTGGGCATGTTGCAAGGAGGCACTGGTCCTTGGAGAGGGACATCATGTTTGGGAGAGTGGAGGGATGGCGCAGGAGAGGAAGACCCTCAATGAGATGGATCAATTCTGTGAGTGGAGTGGTGGGAATGAGAGTGTTTGAGATGGCGAGGTTGGCACAGGACAGAACGGCATTTAGAGCTCTTGTACACAGGGTAGCTATGATTCGCAAGTGACTCGATGGCACACAACAACAACAACAGTGGTTCTTTGCCATCCTCTAAGAAAACAAGACTGATTGAAGATCTTTGGAATCTTTCTTAGTAGCATATCAAACCATGTTGTTGTGTGTCATCAAGTTGGACACGACTTGTAGCTGACTCTCCAGTGCGTTTTCAGAAGGAGTCAATCACATGGCACAGGAGTAAATCTATTGTCCATCTTTCTCTCATGGAGCAGCCTGGACTCAAACTGCTTGCCTTCATGTAGGCAGCTCAACGACTTACTATCAGACTATCAGCATTTTCCACCAACCCACAGATAGCTTATTCACCTTATCCTAAAATGAACAATTACTGCAGATAAAAATATTTGTTAATATAAATCTATAACTGAATACAGACTTCTAAATTATAACCTTATACACTGGAAAAAAAATCTCATTCTGTAATTGCTTCAACAATATTACACAAAAGACAAAAACTTACACATTAAAATATATTTTATTTACCTTAAGAGCTAAAAGGCTTTTATTAATTTCAGCACCTTCAAGCCTAGTTTGCCTGTCTGCACTTGAAGTATCAGCTCCTCTTTCATTTCCAGCCAAATCAATAAGAGAAAATTTGCCATGTAGTTTTCCTTTCCTTCTAAGAATAATCTGAAATACTGCGTGGCTTCGAGACGAATGGGCATTAGCAGATGTTTGACCGGATGTTCTACAAACAAGGAAATTTTGATACATATGATTTTAATATACATATTCAAACTGTGATACAGTTGGCTAACTGTATCTGCAGGGTACATTAACAAATTCAATCAATCTCAGGTTAAAAAAAAAGATGACCAATTCCCTGTGGACACCAAGGGAAGACCATATTTTCATAAAGTTCCAATCATTTAAATACAAAGAACTATTTAAAAAATACCTGAACTTTCTTTTGTACTATGATAGCCATATAATATAAGTCGCTCAAAAGTTACATATAACAAGTGTGTATAAACAAAGACTTTGCTGCAACAGTGTACTAACACCTCCACATTTTCGTCAAGCTGTACAAAGGATATAGCTCTTATTAGGAAATGTGCTATCATTTCTTAATCAAAATGAGAATGTTTACCTGCAACTATTGCCTATGTCAATAAGTTTCAGTACATCTTCAACACATTTGACTTCCCTTTCTTGTAGTCCAACTACCTGAACTTGCTGTTTGCCATCTTCTAGCACTCTTAATTTTGTTTTTCTGTTTAGTAAATCGAACACCTGCAAAAAGGCATTTTATTAAAATTAGCAAATTAAAAAAAAATTCTACATGGAAATGAGTCAGAGTGAAAATTTCAAAGCATTCTTAGAATAATTTCAACATTGAAGTTGAAGAATTTGAAAGGACATTTTAAAACAAAAATTTTAATATATAATATTCCAGTATCTACAGAAATTTGCACTTACTTTTCCACTGTAAATTTCAAAGAAAGTTGCATAAACTTGAAGTTCTAATTTCTTATAGTTTGGCTTCTTTAACATTAAGAAAACATCTCGAGCTGTCAAGAATTTCATATAAAAAAATTTTAAGATATAATAAATATAAAAGCAATTAAAATTTTCTACTTTCAGAGGAGTAAGTTAATCTATGTGTAGAATGAGACTATAAATAACAAAGACTAAAGTTAATTATAAAATACGATTAAGTTTTTTGTTTTAAGGTCTAGATGCTATACTCTTCACAGTATAAAGAAAAATGATGCTCCTATTATCTTTTTAAGTAGCATAAAACTTTAGGAGGTTAAAATAAGGTTACTCCTCTAACCACAGACAACCAACATACTTAACAAATTGTTCAACAACATTCTTCAACAAAATTCCAGATTGCATTGTCACAAATATAATAAAAATTTCTGTTATCAAAAGTTTAATAGATCTTTTCAAGTAGATTATCTGTAAGTTGTATGTACAGAAAGAATACTAGTTGCCTTTAAAATCCTTGACATTATTTCTAAAAGTCTTATTTCAAAATCACTTTAAAATCTACTAAGATTATTGTAAACTATATGTAAAAAACAACACTTACCTGCTAGTGCATAAATCCCTTTAGAACAATCTTGGTTCTTTCCTGAAAAGTCACCACCCATAGTCTATATGTTAAAAGAAAATAAAGAACAGAGATTTGTTTCCCTTAATAACAGCTTTTACTAAAGGGGGGGGGGGAGCGCGTGAAGGCGGCAAATCTTAAGACATGACGTTTTAGAATTAAGTGTTACGAAAGTTAAACTGTAGCTTCACTCCTGAAAGTCATTTTAATGAACTACTTACATGTGTTTTTCCACTTCCAGTTTGGCCATAAGCAAAGCATGTAGCCATTCCTCTTTCGAATATAGTTTCCACAAGAGGTCTAGCTGTAAACCTTAAATTAAAGGCATCTGTCAGAATTTCCTGTTAATATTTAAGTTAAACAAGTAACACTTATAGCAAATCATATAAGCCAAAATTGAAACAAATACTCTGTATAAAATCTTAATTAACCATATCCAGGAACTGTTTAAATAATTTTAAGAAATTAATTATAAGAAACAAGAGTAGCAATGGCAATGAACAAAATAAAGCTTAATAAGATCTATTATGGATGATAACAGGAGATATTTTAAAAAATGAAAAATAAAACTCAGTAGTATTAGTACAAGACATATATGATGAAATCATTATTCCATCAAAAAGCATCGATTACAATCTCAGTAAAAAATGTGCAAAACTCAGTAAGGAAAAGCTATTTAATGGGCTTTCAACATTATAAAAGTTGCATATGTAGTTAAAGTGAATGAAACTATGATGAAAAATCTGTCCTTAAAAATAAATTCACATTAATATTAAAAGGCAAGCAGGAGTTATCCATAAGTGGATATTCCTGTCCTGGCGAAATCTTCTATTTACTGTAAAATGGCGTCCCTATCCATTGACTGACTTTACCATAGAGATGGGCAGGAGTATGAAAATAGGGCTTGTTAGCCTATCCACAAGGAGACTGGCTAGTCTCACCATTAAACTGAGTGGATCCAGAAGCCGAGTTAGAGAAACCTCATCACCAGCAAAGAAGCAAGAGAATGTAACATGTTCTTCAGGACCAGAGATTCTTGCACCAGTTATACTAGGGCCTTTGTGAGCAAGAGCCACAGCAGCCATAGCAGAAAACCAGAGACCTGACACGAGCCTCATAAGACATTGGGATTGCTACATCATTGAACTAGAGCTCAGAGAGACAACCGAGGGGGTGGTAAGAGCTACAACTGGCAGGACTGAGAGCTTTTTTTAACACTGACCTAAAGCGGTGAGTCTCAAGGTTGACATGCCTGTAAGAACATTCTGGAAGCTGTCCTGAATGTATTCTGCTACTAACTTTTGACTTCCCCAATATGGTTCTGTGTGATCTGTGAGCTATAGCATAGGATTGTGGATCTAGGAAAGCAGTAAGATTAGGCTGGGATGAGTAGAAAGAGATGTGGGAGCAGGGGGAACATATACAGTGGCCTCATGGAAATTGTTTTTATGTTGCTGATGCCGTTGAAAGGGACAGTTCCTCTTTGTAAAGTTGGTAAAGGTCAGATACGGCCCTTGCTCTTTTTACAGTAACATATACAAAAGTCCAAGTTGCTTTTAAGTTGAATACGTGAACAAATTTAAACCTCATATATTAAAACTATCCAAAGGTTTGAGGATAATAAAAATTAGGAAGATGAAAGTAGATTGATTGGTAAGTTTTCTTTCTAGAATGGCACATTTAATCAAATATTTTCAAATTTATTAATAGTATAAAGAATAAAAATTGAAAAATCAAAGTCTTGTTCTCACCATACTCCATTTCCAAAGAATTATTAACATTTTGACATGTAAATTCCTTATCTATGGTAAGTGTGTGTACACGTAAAATAAATTACTAAGTAATGAAAACTAAGATTGTGGAGAGTTTAAGAGAATAAATCTTAATATTCATTATAATGCTTATTACATGCTCTTCTTTGTTTAAACTCAGAATGAAAGAAGATTGTATCTTTGGAGGGATATGCCAAGACATATTTTAAGGTACTGATCAAAGATAAAGTATAAGAACAAGTTCTGATTCAAAAGAAATTTACCTACCTGTAAACCATTTCATTAGGAGCTGAGTCATCAAAGGCATAATCAAAACGAAATGTTTGGTTTTCTAAGTACCTTGTTAAATCTACTTTTTGTTTTGGTTCATGTACCATAACAACATCTTTACTGGGGATTGTGATTACATCAAGATCTTTCATTTGTGTTTCTACAGAAAGAAATGAAAATCAATGTTCAGTAATTTTTACAACATTTGAGATAAAGCACAAAAATTATTTAAGAATTTATATAAAAGTACCGTTTCTAAGTATAAAGGTTGCTGTTGTTGGTTGCCATCGAGTTGAGTTTGACTTAGAGTGATCCTATGAACAACAGATCTTAACCCTGTCTTATCCTGTACCATCCTCACAGTATCTGATACACTCAAGCCCACTACTGCAGTCACTGTCTCAATTCATTTGGCCAAGAAACTTCCTCTCCCTTCCCACCTTTCCAAGAATGATGTCCCTCTCCAAGGAATAACCTCTTCTAACAATAGGCCCTAAGTGTGTGAGAAGAAGCTTCATCATCTTTGCCTCTGAAGAATACTCTGGCCTTACCTTCTCTCTAAGACATATCTGTGAGTTCTCTTGCCAGTCCAGGAGAGATTCAGTACTCTTCTCCAATACCCCAGTTCAAAGGCAACAATTATTCTTCTGTCATCCTCATTCATTATCCAGCTCTCAGATGTACGGCAAGTGACTGAAAAGACTGTGGCCTGAATCAGGCACACTAGGTGCTTAAACTGACATCACTGCTCCTCAAAGATTTGGAAAAGTCTCTGACTATAGACTTTCCCAGTGTAATATGTCTCCTGATCTCCTGGCTACTAGTACTAAGTGTACTAACTGTGGATCAAAGGAAAAGAAATTCTCTGACAGTTTTAATCTTTTCTCTATCTACCATTTATTGGTCCAGTGGTGAGGATTTTTGTTCTCCCCATTTTGAGATGCAATCCATATTGAGTATAAAGTATAACACAGTGTCCCATAAATATGCCAATGAATAAGACAAAATGTGTTTACAACAAAGGTGAAAAAGAATCACAACTTCTGTGAAGGAAGAATCAAGGGTACCACCACAGCAGCCATACTAGTACAGCAGCCCCATGGCCATGGGCCTTAATAGGAGTCACAACTGCTAAGAATGTGAGCAAGCTGAGGCACAGTAACTGCTGCAGGCATCTCACCATGCACACCAAGGGACATGGCCTGGGAGGTGTGCCCTATGAGTGCCATGCCATGGAGCTGTTCAAGGTTTCCATGGACAAACTGGTCTCAAGAAAGGGGCGGGGTCACATAGATGTGCCAAAAGGAAGCAAGAAAAAAAATCAGCAATGTCTTGACTGCCAAGAAGGATCGGGCATTTCCCAACGTCCCCCACAGTCCTCACCCATCTTATATGATAAAAGAAATGACCAAACAAAACAAAATCCCACCAAAAACAAAACCAATGGCAATTATCCAAAGAATTAGTAAGTTAACAGATCAAGCTATAGACATCTAATTAGTGGTTATGTACAAATGCAAGAAAATTATTTACACTTAATTCTTTCAAATATGATTTATGCAATTATAAAAAAGAAAATATAAAAGGAAAAAATTAACTTTTATTAGAACTCATTAAGTATCGTACCTTTTTTATTGAGTGGTCGTTTCCTTACACAAACACATATTCTGTGCTCATCAATCTATGAAAAAGACTTTATTTTAGTGATCAGGAGTAGTAAACACTGGAAAGTCAATGACATAGTCACTTTGTCCAGCAGTTTGGTAATTTATGCACAACATAAATACGATAAATGTAAAAAGACCCCAAAACTAACTCACACAATTTTAGTGGCTACCACCCATAATTATTTCTGAAAGTATGAATACAGACAGCAAATACTTGTTTGTTATTGGGCAAGCCTTGGAAATAACTTGACTATTATTCTTAAGTAGCATTAGGTTCATTTTTAAGAAGATATCTTCACTTTAATGAGCAAGAAATATATACAACTTCTTGTATGTAACACCTGAGTGTGCTAAATACAATAGAAAAATTTCTATCAAGTGGTACTTTTCAGGTTGATTGTATAATGTTGTTCACAAAGATAACTACAGGCAAGAAACATAATTCCCAAAAGGTTACTGAATAGAGTATGTACAATTTTATAAATATGCTAATTCTTATATATAAAAATATTTCTTCAGATACATGTTATCAATACTCATCTCCTTTTAACAACAATTCTCATACACCAGGGATACAAAACTACAGACATAATCAAGTTCACTAATTGCTTTGGTAAAGTCTCACTTTACCAGACAGACCTCTTCATTTAAGTATTACCTACGGATGCTTTCACAATGGCAGAAGTTGAACAGTTAGGAAAGAAATCAGATGACTGACTCAAAGTAAAATTATTACCAGGCCCTTTACAGCGTCTGTCAATCTCTGCCCCCAAACCATAATCTCAGACCTTATAGGTTAAATAATTTGAGTGGTGGGCAGCAAAGCCTAAAATATATAAAACATAAGGGTTACTAACAACTCTATGAAATCCTCTATAATACATCTAACTAACCCATTGTATTTTGTGTAACCAATGCTGTTCTTGTTAAGTGCTATTGAGTTGCTTTTGACTCAAAAGTGATCCCCACGTAAAAGAACAAACTGCCCCACAGAGTTTTGTTGGCTGAAGTTTTATGGAGGCAGGTTCTTCTGTGGAGTCACTGGGTGGGTTTAACTGCTAACTTCTCAAGTGCTGTCACTAGAGGTCCTTGTGTCTCTAATACATTCTGAATACTTGAAAAGATGGCATTTCTTGTCCAATAAATTAACATTCTTTAGAAAGAACGGTTGAGTAAGGAGGTGGCAGGGCATTTATCAAGCATAGGTTTCTAGTCTGCAGCAGCTGTCAGTAACTATTAAAACAATTAACTTCAAGTTTATGGAAGTAACAGTGGAGCTTATAACCTAAAGAGTAAGTAAGCATGGAACTGAGATCAATGTATAAATAACAGTCAGAAAGAAATGGAATTTTCTGACAATTTAACTCTGACTCTGCTTTTCCAAAGACTGAAGGCTTTGGTTTGAAATGGACATTAGCACAAATGCAGATAACTTCTTGATTTTCTTCTTAAACTGTAGAGATGAACATTCACAAGGAGAGGAAAAAATACGGTATGAATTTATAAACTTTATATACATATAAAATGAGTATTTTGTATTTGTACTATCAAAAATTTTAGAGGATTTTTTTTAATAAAGAATCTTACAGGATCTGCTGTTGTCAGTGGTCTATAATCCAAACTTCCTCTAAAGTCTCTGATCATGCACATAATTTCATAATTTGGATTTGTAGCATCAACATCCTATAAAAAGACAGAGAGTTAGTTAATCACTTATGGTAGCTATAATAACATTAAACACTGCATTGATGTTAAGAGTTTAGAAATGAAAAGTTTCTTATGTCAGGTGCCAATGAGATAATTCTGATTCAGAGGAAGTCATGTGACAGCTGAATTGCCCACAGAGTTGTCCAGGATGTAATCTTAAAGAAGTCTTGGTGGTGTAATGGTTAAATGCTTGGTTGTTAAAGCTGAGTCTGCAGCTTGAACTTAATAGTCCCTTCTCCTAGAAAAAGATGTGGCTGGCTGCTCCCGTAAGGATTATAGCTCTGAAATTCTATGGGGCAGTTCTACTTTGTCCTATGATTTGGAACTGACTCAGTGACAACAGGCTGGGCTATAGTAATTTTTTTGAAAGTGGATTGTTCTTTCTCTCATAGAACAACTAGGTGGACTCAGAAGTTGATCGCTTAATCATCTGTTTACATTAATGGGGCTCTTTGAGTTTCTTAATAAATATGCTGTTTATCATGTTAAAACCAAATTAAAACTGAAGATATTAAGTGACTGGGGTCATCAGGGTAGGTGTGTCGGAGACAGTGAGATTGGCAAAGGATAGAGCAGGGTTTAGGGCTGTTGTACATAGGGTCGCTATGAGTCCCAGGCGACTTGACAGCGCATAACAACAACAACAACAACAACAACATATAAACTATGCACCTTAGTCCTCAAACTGACGTCATTACTCCTCAATAATCTGGAGATATATTATCTCCAATAACTGCAGATTTTCCCAGTACAATGAATGCATCTCCTTATTTCCTGACTGTTGGTACTATAGGTATTAATTGTGGCCCCAAGCAAAATAAAATCATAGACAATTTTAATCTCTTCTCCAACCGTCATGATGTTGTCTATCAGTTCACTGGTAATAATCTTTGTTTTCTTGACACTGAGATGCAATCCATACCAAAGGCTGCATTCCCTGATCTTCTGCAAAAAGTGCTTCAAGTCCTCCTCACTTTCAGGAAGGAAGGTTGTGTCATCTGCATAACATAAGAGAGCGATGATTCTCCCTCCAATCCTGATGCCACATTCCTCTTCATAGAGCCCAGCGTCTTGAATCATTTCCTCAGTGTATGGAAAGAGAATACAACCCTAATGCAATCCCTTCTTTATTTTCAGCCATGTAGTGTTCCCCTACTCTGTGAACAAAACTGCCAGGTATAGGTTTTGCAAAAATATACCTCCTTAATAGAACACTGAACTTACGATGAACAAAGAAACTCCCTATGACCCAGCTACTCTACTGCTAGAAATATATCCCAAGGAAATGAGAAATGAGCCACAAATGGAGATTTGTATATCATTGCTCACAGCAGCATTATTCACTATTGCAAGAACGTCAAAATAGCTCAAATGTCCAATCACAATCGAATAGATTGACAAATTATGGTATGTTCACACGATTGAATACTACATAGCACTCAGTGGTGATAATTTTAAAAAATTACTACATAACTTGGGAGTGAGTGGAGAGCATTATGCTGGCATTAACTAATGCACTCTCATAATGATAAACTCTACCTAAGATCATTGTAAAAATAAGAAGTTAACTAGTAAAACATTTATGGAAATCCAAGTGGGGGAAGGGATGGAAGTAGATAGGTAGAATGCGTAGGGGAGAAATCAAAAGGTCACACAATTTGGTGGGTGGAGGGAGGGGGGGTAAAGGAAATTGAAGAGATCTGGATGGGGTCTGAAAAGATGGGGTAATGGTTAGCACTGTACAATAGTGATTGATTTTATAAAATACGATTTATGAGAATGACTGTATAAACTTTAATTTTTTAAAGCCACATTTAAGATATTAGTATTAAATATATGAATTTGGAAAAAATCAGAAACCAAAATTATCTTCAAAACTTTATTAAATGCTGATTGAAAATTTACCATTTTGCCTCAAAACTAAGAAACTTCATAATGACAAAAGTAAATAGCATCTCCAAGACAGAGAAGATTAATGACTATTATAAAGCCTTTTTTCCATACAAATGTGACTTTATAACATAGTGAAATCTCAAAACTACTGACTTAAAAAAAAACAACAACCAAACTACTGACTTATTTTCTTTTTTAAAAAATTTTATTAGTTTTTTTGTGTGTACTATCAAATCAGTTCTGACTGGTACAGGAGATTGTCCTCCTGCTCCAGC